TGGTGTTTGTTTTGTTTTTTGAGACAGTGTCTCACCATGGAACCCTGGCCTGGGGCTCATTTTATAGACCAATTTGGCCTGGAACTCACAGAGATCCTCCTGTCTCTGTCTCTCAAGTGCTGGGATTAAAGGCGTGCACCACCACATCTGGATAAAACTTTAAAAGAAGTAAATAAATAAATAAATAAATAAATAAATAAATAAGTAAATAAAGGGAGGCAGCAGGATGGCTCAGAGGATAAAGGCACCGGCTGCCGAGCCTGATGACCAACCTGTGTTCAATCCCCAGAACCCACATAAAGGTGGAAGGAGAGAATGGACTCCACAGAGGTGACCTCTGACCCCCACACACATGTTGTAGCACAAGTCCTCCAAAGATAATAAATTTAATATAACTTATAAAGGAATCTTCTATCTCTCGGGCTATTGTGATTTACTTAGAAATGAGCATAAGCCTAAATCCCAAGCATGGGAACCATCTGGGTTCTGCACTGGGACTAATTAAGACTCCCTGGGGAACTGCAAATGTGGACGCCTCGAGCTGCTTGAGAGAGTTGCCTATGAAGGAAGCCAGCACAGAAAACAGAAGGGCAAAGGGATGGTGTGTGCCTGGATTCAGCCATATCTGAAACAAAAAATTACTTCTCTCTCTCTCTCTCTCTCTCTCTCTCTCTCTCTCTCTCTCTCTCTCTCTCTCATTTGGGTTTTAGTTTCTCTCTTTTTTAAAATAGGCTTGGCTGACTGGAACTCACTCTGTATAGCAGGCTGGGCTCAAACATATGGGAGACCCTCCATCCCCATTCTGCCTCCTGAGGGCTGGGACGACAGACATTTACTACCACACCCAGCTTGGCAAGTAGACAAGGCTGACTGAGAATTTGCCGCAATCATCCTGCTTCTGCCTCTCAAGTTAAGGGACCACAGGCTCACCGGCATGTGCCACTTTGTTGCTTCCTTAAAGTCTTTTAAAGTCCCTCTTGGTCACAGAGCCTTGCCTACATTTCTGGCCAACTGTTGGGTCTAAAGTGGCTGTGTCAGCATTGACCATGCTTCGCTGAGCGTGTGTCAGCATCGATCTTGTGCCTCTCACATCAATCATTACATTGAATCATCAGGAAAGCACCACACTTCACAGGAAGTCAAACAGGCTTGGAATGATGTCTCCATGGTCCCAAAACCAGTTTGTTTTCAGATGCAACCGTAAACAACCACTCAATTGCTATCGCTGGCCGTGTGTTCTGACCATTGAACTGAACCTCCTGAAGCCAGCATGAACAGGAGAAAACAGGGTATAAAGAGAGGGTGGAAGGGCTGGAGAAATTACTCAGTAGTTAGGAGTGTGTACTGCTCTTGCAGAGGACCTGAGTTCAATTCCTAACACCATGTTCGGTGGCTCATAATTGCCTGTAGCTCCAGCTCCAAAGGATCCAAGAACATCTGCAAACATGCACATGCACACACAAAAATACTCAAAATAGTCTTAAAATAATAAAAGAGTCTGGAGGGGGCGAGAGAGGATGGCTTAGCAGTTAAGAACACACGTTGTTCTTGCAGAAGACCTGAGTTTAGTTCCCAGCACTCAAAACTGCCCGACTCCAGTTCCAGGGGATCTGACACCCTCTTCTAAACTCTGTGGACTCTTGCTCTCACACATGCACATTCCAACACACAGACACACACATATACACCTACTTTTAAAATAAAAAATAAATCTCAAAACAAAAGAGCTTGGAAACTAGGGTCAATGGTACATGTCTGCAATCTCAGTATTTGAGAGGCAGAGGCAGGAGGATTGCTGCAAGTTCCAGGCCATCCAGATTCACATAGCAAATTCTAGGATAACCAGGCCCTCATAGTGAGACCCTGTCCCCAAAGTAGACAAACAACAACAACAAAAAGAGACTGGAAAAAAATCATAAAGTAATAACAACCCATCAATTCTGAGCATTGGTTATATCTATGGTTACCATGTGTGCTTGTTTTTAATGTGTAAGGTAGGGGTGTTTTGCCTACATGTATGTCTGTGCACCACATGCCTGCAGTGCCCTTGGAATCCAGAAGAGAACTACTAGTCGCCGTGTGGGTGCTGGGGTCTGCTCCTGCTCCTCTTCAAGAGCAAGCAGTACTCTCAGCCCCCGAGCTATCTCCAGCCCTGCCCTGTGCAGTCTTTCTGTCGTGTATCAATTACTCACAGGGATGTGGTCTGAGAACATGACTTATTATTCATTATTGTGCAAACATCTTGAACGAATTATATATATCTCATAGCCTACTGCTCCTAGGCTACAACTCTTACAGCATATTACTGTACTGAATACTGTAGACAATTTTAACACAATGGTGTTTGTGTATCCAAACATATCAAAGCACAGTAAAGGTGCAGTAAAGTACTAGCTGTTGGAATTTTCTCTCCACTGTAATCTTATGGGACCACCATCGAATGTGTGGTCTGTGGTTGACTAAAACATCTTAATATAACATGTTGCTATATTTTAAAACTCTCTCAAAATAAAAATTGTTTTAAAAGAAAGAAATGAAGCAAAGAAGAAAGATGAGGCCTGGGTCAGAGGATGGGATCAGAACTAGGGCCAGGTTTGAGCTGGCGTGGGGCCTGGACAGGGGTTAGGCTGGCTCAGTGGCAGCCCCTCCACACACAGCTCAGTGTTTCCTGAGCCAGGCTGACTGCCAAGAGCAATATCACCGGCACCAGGCAGCCTCTGCCCTCTCCCCCAACAGCTCTACCCCCAGGCAGGTGGGGGTAGATGAGGACTGGCCTCCAGAGACCCTCCTTCCCCTGCCTGGCATTCCAGGAATACAGTATCTGTAAACTTCTACTTATAGCTTGGCATGCCATGGGTGCCTCATCAGTACTGGACTAAAAGGGAGGAAGAGGAGCACCTGCCCAGCCCCCACATCCCTGGTCTCCGTCCTGTCCATGCTCCTTCTAGTGAGTCTCTGCTTTCTAGGAAATACTGGGAGCCTAGAAGCCAGTGTAGTGGCCCCACCTATGATTGAAGTACTTGGGAGGATAAGGTAGGAAAATTGCTGAAAATTCAAGGCCAGCCTGATCCACATAGTGAAAGCTAGGGCTATATAGCCAGACTGTTATGCGCACGCGCGCGCACACGCACGCGCGCACGCACACACACTTTCACACACACAGTCACATTCACACACACAAAGGTAACAAAAACAAGAGAATGAAGCCCTCCTACCCTCTCTCTTGTCTCTTTCCTTTCCTCCAGTAATCTTACTTATCTGCCTAGAGGTGGAGTCTGCTTTACTGCCTTACCCATGGAATTTAAAATAGTTCATGAAATCAGGGTGTGGTGGTGCACACCTCCCAGCACAAAAAGGAAGGGAAGGGAGGGAAGGAGGGAGGGAAGGAGGGGAGAGGGAAGGAGGGCAGGAAGAACGTATTAAAAAACGAAAGAGAATAGTGCACGTGGGAAGTGAAGGATGTGGCAGAAGTGTGTTGGACCCTGTAGAACAGGGCACACCACACAGCAAACCCTTAATAAAATACTTACCAGTTGACTGTGTGAGTGAATGATGACCCTGTGGGAGTCAAGGTTGTGAACGCAGGAAAGAGTTCAGCCAAGAGACTTGAGATTTAGAGAATATATTCTTGGAAACGGGGTGGGGGTCAGGGGGAGCAATCTGAGGGTCTTGGGGATCTTGGGAGACAGTGGGGTTACAGGAACTGTCTATAGAAACTTCTAGTTAATTAGCACTGGGCTCAAGAGAACCTGGGAAACACCCCAGAACTGGAATGAAATCTGTGCTGTAGGATCTAGCTTCTGCTGTCAGCTCACCATGGACTGACCCCCAAGACTGTATTTAATAAGGAGAGTCCTCAGAGGGCCAGGGGAAGGAAGGACCTGAAGTTCCAAGGCCATCTCTCTTCAAGGCAGGCCCCAGGCTAGAAACCTCCTTCCTCCTGGGCAATGCTGAGGGGCTAGATTCTGGATGGGAATCCTCATAAACTTTTTCTTTTCTTTTTCTCCCTCAACCCCACCCCATATGTGTATGTATGTTTGAGTTTTTCTTGAGACAGGTTATCACTCCATAGGTCTAGCTGTTCTGGAACTCACTAAATAGCCAAGGTTGGCCCCTCAAACCCAGGATCCTCCTACCTCAGCCTCTGGAGAGCTGAGATTCCAGGCATGAGTCACCACTTCCTGGTTAGGATAAGCTGCTTTCAAAAACAATGGTAACTAGTGATTTTCTGATTTATCTTTGGGAAGAGACAATTCTTTTTGTTAGAGAATAGAAAGGGAAAAGTAAAGAAACAATGTTGTCAAAATGTTGCTCAGTGTGCTAGTATGAGTTCAAGGTTAGTCAGAACTGCGCAGTAAGACTGTCTCAAATACACACAACAGAGAGAGAGAGAGAGAGAGAGAGAGAGAGAGAGAGAGAGAGAGAGAGAGAGAGAGAGAGAGAGAGAGAAGCAAACAAACTTTTAGTTACACAAAGAAATACCACTCTTTTTGAGAGTGAAAGTGAAAAGAGATAGTCTGATCTGAATAACAATACGAAAAGGCTGGACTGGGAGCAGCTAGGTGGCTTCGGACATGCCAAGAACCCACAAGTTCCCGGGTATGATTCCCAAGATAAAATCAAATACGATTAAAATTTGAGGCTGGAGAGATGGCACAGTGGTTAAGGGCACTTGTTCATGCAGAAGACCCAGGTTCAATTCCCAGCACCCTATGGTGACTCACAACCATTCATAACTCCAGTTTTAAGGGATCCAACATCTTTTTCTGGCCTCCAGGGCATTGCACGCATGTGGTGCATAGCCATACATGCGCACAAAACACACACACACAAAGTAATTAAATTTAAAAATAAAATAACTCACATTGAATGGTTGATAATGACACACACACACACATACACACACACACACACACACACACACACACACACACACACACACACACCCCACAACAGCAAATCGATTTTTTTCTTTTCTTTTCTTTTCTTTTTAATTTAAGGAAAGGCAGCTGCTCCTTTACAGGCAGGATCTCACCCCTGGGGGCGCTAACCAGGAGCTGAGCAGGTGACCTGAGTTGTGTTTTCTTCCAAAGAGCTTTGGAGAAGCAGAATCCTGGGACTTCAGGTGAGACATGGTCTGGTTGGCTTCCTGGTTTAGCCACAGTCCACATGCTTGACAGAAGAACTGAAGATGGGACATACCTGGGCCAGGTGGGGATGAAGCTCTCTGAAGACACCTACTGTGTGCCAGACACTTGAGATACAAAGGTGAGGTCTGCAGTTTCAGTTCTTACTGCCCAGGAGTTTAACATTTCCCAAAAGCTTACACAATAACTATTCAGTTACAATCTAGAAAGTGTGCTGAAGAAATAATGATTCTAAGAGACCATAGGTCATATAGGAACATATGAATCCCCCTTTTGCAAGTCTCTTAAGGACCACACTATCATTTACTGATTTACTCAGGGGAAAATGAGGACCGGGCCAGGAGTAATAGTACTGAAACTTGAGGCCCATTTCTTTCTTCATTCTAAAAAAGGAAACTTGATAAGTTCACAAGGCTCTTCTGGGGCAGTGAACTGAGACCTAGGATCAACAAAAAAAAGTGAGTGAGGTCTGTACATGTGGACCAGACCACCATGCCATGCCAAAACTATCCGCATAAAAGATATGAGAAATTACTTGAAAATTCACTGGGGGCCTGGCTCTCATCCATAATCTCCCACCCAAGTACAAACCAGGCCTGGCCCCATGTAGTTTCTGCAATCAGATGAATTCAGAGTCCCAAAGTCATAGGCACACCTGTAATTGCAACGGTCTAGTAGCAAAGGCAGGAAGATCATTGCATGATGGAGGACAACCTGGTCTTCACAGAAGAGTGTCACACCAGCCAGGACTACATAACCAGATCCTGTTTCAAAAGACCAGACACAAATGGAACATTAAAGTTGAAGGGCCTGAGAAATAGTTCCCTGATTAAAACCCAGGCTACTCTTTCAGAGGGTCCAGTCTGTAACTCCGGTTCTAGGGAATCGAACCTCTTCTGTGTCTGCAGGCAGTTAGACATGCGTGCAGGCAAAATGGTCATACACATAATGTAACGTAAATAGTAAAACTTTTTAAAAATTAAAGTTTAAAATGAAAGTTCAAAAAAGGGAGAGGGGCTGGAGAGATGGCTCAACGGTTAAGAGCACTGGCCGCTCTTCCAGAGGACTGGGGTTCAGTTCCCAGCACCCACATGGCAGCTCACGACTGTCTGTAACTCCAGTTCCAGGGGGCCAGACACCTTCATACAGACATACATGCAGGTAACACATCGATGCACATAGAGTAAAGAACTAGATCATATTTTGAAGATAGTTCCACCATTTGTTTGTTTATCACGTTGGAGTTGGAACCTGGAGCCTCACTCACAGCAAATGCTCTGGCAGATGCTCGACCACTGCAATTCCAGCGCCCGGCTGTTTTTCATTTTATTTTCAAACAGGGTGTGGTTAAGTAGCCTAGGCAGTCATCCCGCCTCAACCTCTGAGTAGCTGAGATGACCAGGACTGGCCCCATATGTATTTTGTTTATTTTTTATTATTTATTTATTTATTTACTAACTGACTTACTTACTGAGGCAGGGTTTCTCTGTGTAGCCCTGACTGTCCTCTCTCTTGTAGACCAGGCTGGCCTCGAACTCAGAGATCCACCTGCCTCTGCCTTCCAAGTGCTGGGATAAAAGGTGCGTGCCACCATCGCCCGGCTTGGATACGTATTTTAAATACTCTCTGAAGGTCGCTCAGCCAATGAACAAGACATCGCTCTATCTGATGTACTGCGATTGCACGGAAAACAAGAGGAGCCTGGTGAGTTCCAGATTGATGAAGAGCAAAGGGTAGAGCAGGTGCACGTTAGACCTTGGAGGTTGAGCTAGGAGCCCTGGAGCAAAAGATGCCGAATCAGAGCAGAGCCGGGGCGATCCTGTCCCACCCGGAGCTCCTGGACTAGGGTGCAGGGTTGACATTCGCACGGTCTCGGACCACGCCCCTCAGGATAGAACTGGTCCAAGAGGGGCGGAGCCAGGGGTGGGCGTGGCAGGCGGTGGGCAGCCCCCCGCCACGCTGCAGTTGCCTGGACATTCCTGGCTCTTCGGCCGGGGCGGAGGAGCTCCCGGCGGCTGAGCGTGCCAACCCCGCCGGGATCGTGACCCGTGGGCGCGGGAAGCAGGCGGCGGAGGAGCCAGGTGAGCCGGGCCCCCTGCAATGGGAGCCGAGTCTAGCTCTGGGTGAGCCGGGCCCCACACTGCGCTCCCGGACGCCAGGGGGAGAGCGGCTGCAGAGCTCCGGAGCTGTCCCCTCCAGCCCCGGGGACCTTGGCGCCCGCCCGGCGGGAGTAGTTGGGTGGAGGGGGCGGTAAATCAGTAACCCGCAGCGCACACAGGGCCTTTTGTCCCCCTCCGTTCAAAGAGCACCCTGGTCACCGTTCTAGTTACTTATTGCCCACCGGGCGGGGGCGATGGGCCAGCTGTCTATGCAGCTAAATGAGGACCGATGACTTGCACCTCTGTCCGAGGGTGACGGAGTGGGGCCACTAAAGTCAGAGCGCTGTCATCCTTGGGCCGGTACCCGGCAGTGTGCTGGACATAAAGATGAGGAAACCAGCGTTGGGAGAGGAGCAGTCACTTGCCCAGAGCTCCCCATCGTGTGAGTGCGGGAGGGTGGAGAACTCAATGCTATCTGATGACAGTCTCTGGTCCCAATTGTTGGTGATCTTCAGCGGCCAGCCGCGGTGACCAGAACAAGGACTCTGTGGTTGTGAGTTCAAGGCAGCCTGGGAATGGGAATAAACCCTCCCTGGACCTGTCCACCCCTTGGGGCGCTAGAGAGACCCTCTCTGCTTCGCAGGGTGTGGTAGGAGTCTTTTGCAGATGGGCTGACCAAACTGAGGAGAGGGAAAGGTCAAGGTTCTAAGACAAGAGGGGCACGATGGTACAGGCAAGAAAACAAATGTGCTGGACTTTAGAATCTCCTAAAGAAACTAAAGGGACAGACAGTGGGACTAACAAGATTGACACCGGCATTTAAAATGAGGCCTAGAAAAGCTGGGCTTGGCACATGGGCTTTAACCGACACTAGCCGGGCTGAGGCAGGAAGGAGGCTCACAGTTTGAAGGCCTGTTTGGTTTACAGAGTTTCAAAGCCAGCCTGCCTGATCAACTTTGGTAAGACCTTGTCTCAGAATAAGAAAAAAGAAGAAGGAAGAAAAAAGAAAGCGATGGCCTGCAGTTAACCCTCAAGAGCCTGTAAACTGGGTCATAGTGTGAATGGCTCAAACAAACCCGCTGGAAGGTAGAAGGTTAAGGACTAACAGTTGTCAAGATTCCAAGCAAAACTTGACCAGGACCTGGCCTAAGTAAAGGCAGGGGAAGGGGATACATTGAAGAATGATTGAGGTGGTTAAATGGGCTGACTGTAGGGGGCAGCGGGCTGAGGAGAGAGGGTTTAATGGGCAGCGTTCCCAGTTTGTTAAAATATGGAATGCAACTTTTAAGAATCATGCTGTTTTCTTTGACCGTACATACACTAAAGTTGCACTGATACAAATTCACAAAGCAGCCAGGCGGTGGTGGCGCACGCCTTTAATCCCAGCACTTGAGGCAGAGGCAGGTGGATCTCTGAGTTTGAGTCCAGCCTGATCTACAAAATGAGTTCCAGGACAGCCAGGGTTATCCAGAGAAACCCTGTCTTGAAAAACCAAAACCAAAACCAACAAACAAAAAACCAAACTCACAAAGCTTTCCATACTTAAAAAGCATGCTCTGGGGTTAGGAATGTAGCTCTGTAGTGGAGCATTTGCCCAACATGAGCAAGGTCCTGGAGAAAAAGAATACTGATCCAAAGATGCCAGTGCCACCTGGACAGATAACAGACCTGCCACCAGGACTAGGTAGCAAGACTGTATGTCCCTGGGACTACAATGGTCCCCACTCAAGTTAAGGCTTAGCTCTGGGTCTTCCTTTTGGGAAACAGAGGTCCTCCACTTGGACAAGGGTTACTAGATGTGGTGAATGTGTGCATCATACTTAATGGCAACCGTTTGGAAGCAGAGAATGACTGGCGGCTAAGGCCGGCAAAGGGTGCCAAGTGAGCAGTCAGTGTGGGGCTGGGGAGCGTATCCCACCCTCACCCTGTGTGTGCCATCCCTCTGTGCTTGTCTCTTTTATCGCTGAAGCAACCCTTTGATGACAATGGTCCATAAAGGGACAAAGACAGGACTTGTCGAGAATCAGGATTTGGGTTTGTCACTACCAGACATGTAAAATCTGTGTTATTTACAAAACCAGCTAAACATGAATTCAGCTCAGTGGCAGTGTTTGCTTAGCAAGGAGGTCTTGGGTTTAATCCCCAACTCTGCAAAAACAATAAGCAAAACCAAACAAGCTCCTACATTGTCTAAGATGAAGTTGGGAGGGTACAAACCAACTGGTGTCCCCAGTATGCATTTCTGGCTCAGAACGAGGAAGAGTGTCCTTAATTTGGACAGTGCCTTGTTAAAGGAGAGCACCCAGCCGCTGGAAGGATTCCAAGCTGGACATGGAAATGTCAGTAATGCTAAAGAGTGGGGTCCTGTTAGACAGTGTCCAGATGCTGAAGGCTGGCCTTGGATTAGATTTCACTTTTCTTCTTTAACTCTTCAGCAATGAATCCATTTATTCAGCAAAAAATAAATAATGTGTACTGAGAGTGAGCAAAAGATATGTCACCATCTCTGCTTCCTTCCCAGAAAGGAATCTTAAAACTGCTCTTTCTGTGAAGACATGCCAGGGTCTCAGTAGGACCCAAGGCAAGCAGGAAGTCCAGCACCCCCCCCCCTGCAGAACCTCCTGTGGGGAGGCCTTGGGCACTGGCAGCAGCAGTCCTGGTTTCAGCCTTGGCTCTACTACCGTCTGACTGGGGTTTGGATGAGGCTGCCGACTGCTTTCCATCTGCATCCCCAGAAAAAAGAGCGAATGTAACAGGAACTCTTTCCCCCTGTTTCAGGAAGGTGGTCAGTGGAAAGTCTGGCCTGGGTCCTGAGAACAGCTGGGAGGAAATGTGGCCGCTGTTAGTCCTATTGAGCGTCCTTCTGGGGACACCAGCCTTGTTCCTTGAGGCCTCTGAGGAAATGGAGCTGGGTATGGCCTCTAAGGTGGGAGAGGGTGGCAGGGAAGGGGCTTCTGGCTGAGCAAAGCTGGAGGGATCCGAGCCCTGACCCCAAGAAGGTGGCGGCAGGGTGGGGCTCGAGCATTGAGATTCACTCTCTGGCTCTTAGCAGCACCCTCCTATCTGTATTTCTACAAGAAAGAATTAGCCTTGAGGGCACAGAGCCTGGGCTAGGCTGCAGAGCCAGCGGTGAGCCCCTTGGCTGTATGTATATGTGTGTGGTTCTGTGCACTGGGTGTGTTGGTTGGGAGGTCCAAGCAGCATGTGTGATGTGTGTACCCAGTATAGTGTGCCTCAGAAGTGTGGCATGTGTCCTGTATGGCACCTATAGCATGTACCTTGTGTGTGTATGTGTGTGTATTTGGGGCAGTAGCATGTTTAGCATGTGTGCCAAGTGTGTGTGTGTGACGACTCCCAGAAAAAGTGTGGCATTGGTCCTATGCAAAGCATTTGTAGCATGTAGTCATGTGTGTGGAAACAGCATGTGTCACAGGATCTTTGGTTCCACGTGTGTGGCATGTTCTCTGTATGTTTGTGGGGGGGGGGTTCCTCGGATGGAGCTATGAGTGTCACTGACTTCTCCCATCTGCCCTCAGAGCCCTGCCTAGCCCCGACCCTGGACCAGCAGGAGCAGGTGCTGACTGTGGCCCTGGGGCAGCCTGTTCGACAGTGCTGCAGGCGGAATGAGCGTGGTGGTCATTGGTACAAGGAGGGCAGACGTCTAGCATCTGCTGGACGAGTACGGGGCTGGAGGGGCCGCCTGGAGATCGCCGGCTTCCTCCCTGAGGATGCTGGCCAATACCTCTGCCTGGCACGCGGTTCCATGACCGTCTTACACAATCTTACCTTGATTATGAATGGTAAGAGGTTCTGAGAGGGAGTTTAAGGGTGCCTTGGGAAAGAAACCCTCTCTCTTGGACTTCAGATGCCTTCCTTTGTCCCTGAATAGATTCCTTAACCTCCATCAATAACGATGAGGACCCTAAGACCTTCAATGGCTCCTCAAGTGTGCATGTTTACCCCCAGCAAGGTTGGTATGTCTTCTCAAGGACTCCCCCCACTACTTATCTGACCACTGAGAAGAGACCTGTGTGGGAGCCAAAGTCACCTTAGGGCTCCTAATTAGGGGTTCTCCCTCTAGCACCCTACTGGACACACCCCCAACGCATGGAGAAGAAACTGCATGCAGTGCCTGCTGGGAACACTGTCAAATTCCGCTGTCCAGCTGCAGGCAACCCCATGCCCACTATCCACTGGCTCAAGGATGGACAGGTCTTCCACGGGGAGAATCGGATTGGAGGCATTCGGGTGAGTCTCCATTTCCAAGTCCATCTGCTCCTCCATTCTCATTTTTCCCATATAGCCCTCACATAGATCAATATATCTAATGAGGAAGGTAATCACAGAGCCCCCAGACAATGGACAGCTCTGACTCAGGTTCCCAATCTGCCACTCACAAATTTTTCCCTCTCAGCCTTAGCAGCAACTAAGTCCTTTTGTGTTCTGGTGGAGTTCTCATTGTCGATGATGATGTTTATGGGGAAGGGGCCTTAAAGATTGATTTTTATTATTTTTATTTATGTGTGAGTAAATACCATGTGCGTTGGTGCCCACAGAGACTACAAGAGGGCATCGGATGCCTGGGAGCTAGAATTATCTAGGCAACTGTGAGCTGCCTGGACCGGGTGCTGGGGACCAAACTCAGGTCCTCCAGAAGAGCAGCAAGTGCTCCTAACCACTGAGCCATCTCTCCAGCCCTGATGATGCTGGTTTTGTTTTTGTTTTGTTTTGAGACAGGGTCTCTCTATGTAGCCCTACCTGCCCTGGAACTCACTATGTAGACCAGGCTGGCGTCAAACTCACAAAGATCTGCTTGCCTCTGCCTTCCAGGTGCTGGGACTAACGGCATGCACCACCTCACCTGGGGTGATGATGCTGTTTTTGAGACAGGGTTTTACTGTAGAGTTCAGATTAGTCTCCAACCCCAGGCTCCTGAGTAGCATCTCCTGTAAAGTGGGAAGGAAGAGTGACTGAGGCGCCATAGGCTTTATACTTACAGGCTGTTCTCTATGCTGTAAAGAGGAGCCTCAGACTCAGAGTGAGCAAAGACTAGCATGATGGTTCTCAACTTGTGGGTCACGACCTTTTCACAGGGTTCGCATATCAGATACCCTGTATATCAGATATTTGCATTACAATTCATAACATTATCAAAATTACAGTTATGAAGTGCAATGACAATAATTTATGGCTGCGGGTCTTCACGACATGAGGAACTGTATTGGGGGTCACAGCATTGGGAAGGTTAAGAACCACTGGTCTAGCACAAGGAAGCACACCTAGGTAGGGTACAGCTAAAACCCAAGACTTTAACTAGGGTTCAAATGATGTTTTGTTGTTGTTGTTGTTGTTGTTGTTTGTTTGAGACGTGGTCTCACTGTGTAGTCTTGACTGGCTTGGAATTCACTTTGTAGACCAGACGGGCCTTGAACTCACATCCTCCTGCTTTTGCCTTCCAAGTACTGGGATTAAAGGTGTGAACCACCATGCCTGGCCTTCAGACACTTATTTTTTGGGGATTTATTTATTTTATGCATATGAATGTCCTGCAGAAGTTAGACAAGAGTGTCAGATCCCCTGGAACTGGACTTAGAGATGGTTGTGAGCCACCATGTGGGTGCTGGGAATCAAATCTGGGACCTCTGCAAGAGCAGCCAGTGTTCTTGACTACTGAACAATCCCTCCAGCCCCATTAAGGCACTTCTTACAGCCTTCTTCTCTGTCTAGGGATCTCTGGCCTTAGCCTGATCCTCTCAGGGTCTAGGGAGATTGAGAAGAGCCTCATGGGCAGATTCTATCCTCCCCCTGCTCTGGCTTTCCTGAGTTGGTGGTCTCCTGTGGACACTCCCTCTACTTCCAGCTGCGCCACCAACACTGGAGCCTGGTGATGGAAAGTGTGGTGCCCTCAGACCGTGGCACATACACGTGCCTTGTGGAGAACTCTCTGGGCAGCATTCGCTTCAACTATCTGTTGGACGTGCTGGGTGAGTGGATGGACTGCGGGGTAGGACAAACGATTTAACTTATCTTGGGCTCCATCTTGCCCCCAGGGTGGTTATCTTGTCTTGTCCTGGAGGCAAGATAGAGTTAATTTTAGATGAGTCAGATAGCTTCAAGGATCAGCAGGAAGCAAAGCAGCCTGTGGACTGAAGGAGCGGAAGTCTGCACAAGCCGAATTCAGTTCTTAAGAAAGTAATGCATTAATGGCAGGTATATGCCACGGGTGCAGCATTTATGGGGGTGAGGGGCAGGCTGTGGAAGTTTTGAATGTGAATCTGAGAAGCTGCCCTGGACCTAAAGGCAGTAGAGCCATAAAAAGTTGCAGGAGGGTAAACAGAAGATGGACAAGATCTGAGCTGCCTGTCCAGAGGTCCTTTCCTTGAACTGGGAGGGTGGCTGGGAGCAGGTAGACTGGATGGTTTCGTGGCTGCCACTGGTCAGGGTTGACGGCCTGGCCTGGCCCCCAGAGCGGTCCCCGCACCGGCCCATCCTGCAGGCGGGGCTCCCAGCCAACACCACAGCTGTGGTTGGCAGCAATGTGGAGCTGCTGTGCAAGGTGTATAGCGACGCCCAGCCCCACATCCAGTGGTTGAAGCACATCGTTATCAACGGCAGCAGCTTCGGCGCTGATGGCTTCCCCTACGTACAAGTCCTAAAGGTTCGGCTTCTGCCTGGGCCCCACCCTTTTCCCACTGGGGTGGGATGGTCCCCAACCACCCTCCCAGCTACAGTGTGGCCCCAGACCCTCCCGTGACCCAGTGTGTCCACTACTTCAGACAACAGACATCAATAGCTCAGAGGTAGAGGTCCTGTACCTGAGGAATGTGTCAGCTGAGGATGCAGGGGAGTACACCTGCCTGGCAGGCAACTCTATCGGCCTTTCCTACCAGTCAGCATGGCTCACGGTGCTACCAGGTGAGCCCCTGAGGGGCCTAGGACAAGTACAGGCATCCTCTCTGGTCTGTTGTGGGCTATAGCCTGTTGGGTAGGCAGTTTCCTTGGCCTGTGGGAGGTACAATATTTACTTGTTTGGGACATTGTGCATGTTAGACAAATGCTTTCTCACTGACTTCAGCAGGGATATGTGTTTGATTTTACGTGACTATCCATGTGACCCTCAGGGACATAAGACTTTGCGTAACTGTGACTCTTTCGGTGTATGTGTCCCTGTATGTGTTGGCAGCTGTGGGGGCCTAAGCTGGGGTGAGAGGGATGGTCATTCCAAACACCGACTACTCAGCTTCTCTGTCTGTGTTCTCCTAATGATGAGAGCAGAGGAGGACCCCACGTGGACAACAGCAACATCTGAGGCCAGATACACAGACATCATCCTGTACATATCGGGCTCCCTGGCTTTGGCTGTGCTCCTGCTGCTGGCCGGGGTGTATCACCGACAAGCAACTCACAGCCACCGCTCCCGCCAGCCTGTCACCGTACAAAAGTTGTCCCGTTTCCCTTTGGCCCGACAGGTAACGTGCCTGTGCCCCCGCCCCTGCCTCTGCCCTGAATGGCTCTCAGCCTGACTCCAGCAGGCAGAACGAATCTCCCACTTTGCAGTTCTCTTTGGAGTCGGGGTCCTCTGGCAAATCAAGCTTGTCCCTGGTGCGAGGTGTCCGGCTGTCCTCCAGCGGCCCTCCCTTGCTCACGGGCCTTGTGAGCCTAGACCTACCTCTGGACCCACTTTGGGAGTTCCCCCGGGACAGGTACACTGAACAGGGTAAGGATGGGGATGCCAGCTCAAAAGTGGTACCCACAGATCTGAGGCATGGGCCTTTTTGATCTTCAGGCTGGTGCTCGGAAAGCCCCTGGGTGAGGGCTGCTTCGGGCAAGTGGTTCGTGCAGAAGCCTTTGGCATGGACCCCTCCCAGCCTGACCAAACCAGCACCGTGGCAGTGAAGATGCTGAAAGGTACGTGGCAACCTGGGCAGGCCATGCTGGGACCAACTCCACTGCTGGCCCCGGCAAGTGACTTCTGAGCCTCAGTTTCTCCTTGTCTCTCTATAGGGATGAATAATAGTCCCTTGCCTCTCAGGCTGAAGTTCATAGGACATGTCTAGGACACAGGACTTAGTAAATTCTTGATGCAGGGTGTGGAATTGGTTCGCTTAACGCTGGGTCACACTCTAGCCTGGGCTGACCTGGAAGTCACTCTGCAATCTAGCCTAGCCTAGAGCTCATAGTGATCCTATCTCATCCTGGCTAGCTCGGTAAATTTTAACCACTGGGTAATGATCCTTACCACATTTGTGGTGACTGGGGCTCTGGCCTCATAGCTCTGTCATTCACCCATGCCTTCTGCCTCATCCTCATCTAAACCACTAAACTATACACCATCAGCACATAGTCCTCCCATTCCAAGTCTGTACCTTAGTATAGAATAGCTCTCTGTTTAAAAGTCCCAGTCTCAGGGCTGGAGAGAGGGCTTAACCATTCAGAGTGCTTGCTGCTCTTGCAGAGGGCTCAAGTTCAATTCCCAGCACCCACATCAGGCAACTCAAAACCACCTGTAACTCCAGCTCCAGGGATTCGGACATCCTCTCTGGCCTCTGAAGGCACCCCACACACATGGCACACACACACACACACACACACACACACACACACACACACACACGAGTAAAAATAAAATCTTGGCTGGGCGGTGGTGGCGCACGCCTTTAATCCCAGCACTCGGGAGGCAGAGCCAGGCGGATCTCTGTGAGTTCGAGGCCAGCCTGGGCTACTAAGTGAGTTCCAGGACAGGCGCAAAGCTACACAGAGAAACCCTGTCTCGAAAAACCAAAAAAAAAAAATAAAATAAAATAAAATAAAATCTTAAAAAAAATACAAGTCCTGCCAGGCGGTGGTGGCGCACGCCTTTAATCCCAGCACTCGGGAGGCAGAGCCAGGCGGATCTCTGTGAGTTCGAGGCCAGCCTGGTCTACAGAGCGAGATCCAGGAAAGGCGCAAAGCTACACAGAGAAACCCTGTCTCGAAAAACCAAAAAAAAAAAAAAAAAAAAAAAAAAAATACAAGTCCCAGGTTCAAGCTTGGTCTAGTGGCACAAGCTGTGATCACAGGTACTTGGGCAATTACGACAATAGGGTGGTAAAACCAAGGCCTGCCTAAGATACAGATTGGAGTTCAAGTCCAGCCTGGACAACTTACCCTTTCCCAAAATATGAAGAAGACTGGCTAAATGTCTTGTCTAACCTGCAACGATATGGAAAATAAAAAGCGCAGACCTCAAGCAACATCCCCAAAGTGTCCTGCAGTGGCTTAGCATTTGTCCACTGGAATCTCTTTTGCTTTTATTTTTTAATTTTTTTCCTGGTTTTTCAAGACAGGGTTTCTCTCTGTAGCTTTAGAGCCTGTCCTGGAACTCACTCTGTAGACCAGACTGACCTCGAACTCACAGAAATCCACCTGCCTCTGTCTCCCGAGTGCTGGGATTAAAGGCGTGCGCCACCACCGCCCAGTTGCTTTTATTTTTAGAAGTTTATTATTTTTTTTTTAGACAGGGTCATACTATACAGTCCTGGTTGGCCTGTATAGACCAGGCTGGACTTGAACTCACAGAGATCCACTTGCCTCTGCCTCCCAAGTGCTGGAATTTCAGGCAATTGTTGCTGCCTTCTGTGTGTAGTATGTGTGTAAGTGCGGGCATGTGTGAGCACATACCATCCTGTGCATGTGGCTGTCAGAAAACAGCTTAGGCGAGGGGTCACTTTCGGGGACCAAACTCTGCTACCAGGCTTGTGCTCGGGCCACCTTGTCAGCTTCCTTATGTTTTCTTTTGTGTGTTTATTATTTGTGTTTTGGTGGTTGTTTTTTGAGACAGTTTTCTGTTTGTTTGTTTTGTGTGTGTAGCCTTTGCTGTCCTGGAACTAGCTCTGTAGCCCAGGCTGGCCTTGAGTTCACAGAGATCCACCTGTCTCTACCTCTGGAGTGCTGGGATCAAAGGCGTGTGCCACTACCACCTGACTTATTGTTTTGTTCTGTGTAAATCCTATCATGCTTACTCAATCTCTTGCCGTTTAACATTATACCATTTGGTCCTAGCTGTCTTGCTGGCCCCCATTAGAACCTGTTGCTGCTGTTCCCAGTCACCTTCACAAGAACAGCCCAGCCACTGTAGCGCTCCCTCCCTCCCTCCTCCCCTCCCTCCACTCTGCACAGCTGGAGCCAGCTGGCACTTCTGGGAGGCAGTGGTTGTGAAACAGGCTTCTTTATATTGATGTGTGTCTGGGATAAGAATTATGTCTTTGTCCCAAGGCTTCTGGTCAGCCTTGGGGGCCTAGTCCCTGGTCCTTAGCCCTGTCTTCTCAAGGGAAGTCACGCAAGTCTCCTTCTCCTAAGATAACAAGACCTCGGGGCGCTTCTTAGGAACTGTTACCTCACCCAAGGACCAGTTAGCATGGCTTCCTTCCTGCTGGGAGCTTCTGCCTCTTTCCCACTCCATGGACCTGATCTTAGAAAGGTCAGCTTTTAGAGATCTTTCATATTTCATCCTTGCAACTTTGTGAGAGGTTCTGTGAAGTGTGTGTGTAGGTGTATGGGTGTGTGGGTACAGGTGTAGGTGTGCAGCACCAGGTGTCTTCCTCCATTACTCACCACCTTAGGTTTGGAGACACAGACTCTTGCTGAACCTGGAGCTTGCCGTTTCAGCTGCACGAGCTGGCCCTCTAGCTACCAGGGCCTCCACCCCCGTACCTCGAGTGTCAGCACGAGCTGGCCCTCTGAGCTGGCCCTCTAGCTACCAGGGCCTCCACCCCCGTACCTCGAGTGTCAGGGCCGAGGCTGCTGCGCTGCTGCACCCAGCTTTTATGTGGGTGCTGGAGATCTGACCCCCGGTTCACATGCCTGTGCAGCAAACACTTTATCCCCTGAGCATCTCCCCCGACCATTAAAGGAATGCTTTAGGCCAGGCATAGTGACACATGTCTTTAATCCCAGCAGTCAGGTGGTTGAGGCAGGCAATCTCTGAGTTCGAAGCCAGCCTAGTCTACAGAGCTAGTTCTGAGACAGCCAGGGCTACAAAGAGAAACACTGCCTTGAATAAATAAACAGGATTTCTTTTTCTTTTTTGAGATAGGGGCTCTATATATAGTCCTGGCTGTCCTAGAGCTCAATATGTAGATCAAGCTGGTCTCAAACTCATGGAAGATTAAAGGCGTGAACCACCAACCTGGCCTGGAATTATTTTTAAGCATTTTTTTTTTTGGAGAATTTCATACATGAGTACTGTGTTTACATCATTTTTACCCCACTCTATCCTCCTTCCAAATCTTCTCATGCTTCCCACTCCCTTTCAAATTCATGACCTCTTCTTTAAATACACACACACACACACACACACACACACACACACACACACACACACACTCACACGCTGTTTTGAGGTTGTTGGGGTTTTTTGTTTTTGTTTTTGTTTTGGTCTCATGTAGCTCAGGTTAGCCTCATATTTACCAAGTGCTACGATCCGAAGTGGGCTCTTCCATGCCTAGTTTTATGTTGTGGTGAGGACTGAATGCAGGACTTCTTGCTAGGCAAAGCACTCTACAAACTGAGCTACATCCCTAGCCCTAAAAGGCTTCTTTTGAGGCATACAGCCCAGCAGATTTCAGTTCAGATCCACCCAAGCCTTGGACCAGTGTTCCTTGACCTACCCCCACCGTCTGCTGTGCTTGTAGAGGTGAAGCGCAGCTTCCTCACTCCAGCTGTTGCCTTTGCAGACAACGCCTCCGACAAGGATCTGGCGGACCTGGTATCTGAGATGGGGGTGATGAAGCAAATTGGACGGCACAAGAACATCATCAACCTGCTGGGTGTCTGCACGCAGGAAGGTAGGGCAGGGCCCGGGCTGCAGACGCGCAGTTGGGATGCAAAGACACAGTCTTGTCAGCCTTCCCACCCCCTGGCCCATGCCTACCCCTGTAGGGCCCCTGTATGTGATTGTGGAATGTGCTGCCAAGGGAAACCTTCGGGAATTCCTCCGTGCCCGGCGCCCCCCAGGCCCTGACCTCAGCCCTGATGGGCCTCGGAGCAGTGATGGGCCACTCTCCTTCCCGGCCCTGGTCTCCTGTGCCTACCAGGTGGCCCGAGGCATGCAGTATCTGGAGTCTCGGAAGGTGTGCACAAGAGACAGTTGTAGTGTGCTCTGGACCACTCTAACTCCTCCTTCTCCACACTGCCATGCTGGGGGCACTCAGTGTCCTCAGCTGCTCCTTCTCTGCCTGTTCACTGCTCTAGCCTTTATCCACTCCCACACATATGCAGCTAACACTGCATGTCCCCGTGTGTAACACTGCATGGCCCCATTCTCTAACCCACGGGCAAGGCAAATGAAGCCTCGGTGCAGGTGTGGGCTCTGAACATATATATACATCTTTCTTTTGTTCCTGGTGCTGGGGATTCAGCCCAGGCCTTTGCCCATTCCAATTCTCCTCTGTTCAGGGGGTGAATGACTCTAGCCCCTGGGCTTACTGTGAAATGATGAGCAGAGCTCCCAGACACGTGTCCTGAGACACCCAAGTCTCTGCCCTCTTCTTAGTGCATCCACCGAGACCTGGCTGCCCGAAATGTGCTGGTGACAGAGGACGATGTGATGAAGATTGCTGACTTCGGGCTGGCCCGTGGTGTCCACCATATTGACTACTATAAGAAAACCAGCAATGTGAGGGACAGGGCAGAGATGCATGGGAGTGGTGTGGGGCTGGGCCTGGTATGGAAGGTCCAGTTCCTATGCAACTCAACACCATCATCCCCACCTCCTTCCTCAGGGCCGCCTGCCAGTCAAGTGGATGGCTCCTGAGGCCTTGTTTGACCGTGTATACACACACCAGAGTGATGTGTGAGTCTGGGAACTGGGGTCTCAGACATCAGCTGTCCTCGTCTCTCCCCTCAAAAAGGGCAAGGCACTTGCCAATGTCACAAGACCCTAGAAGTTCCTCTGACTAGGTCTGGGGCTTGGGTGGGACCAGACTCCAAAAGAAAAGAGTGCCCCTCCCTATCCCCAAGGGTGGATCATGACTGCAATAGCCCCGACCACAGCCTCAAAGAGGAAGGAAGCTGGGCCCTCCTGAGCCCCAATTCTGCCTCTAGGTGGTCCTTTGGGATCCTGCTGTGGGAAATCTTCACCCTTGGGGGCTCCCCATACCCTGGCATCCCAGTGGAAGAACTGTTCTCACTGCTGCGAGAGGGACACAGGATGGACCGGCCCCCGACCTGCCCCCCAGAATTGTAAGGACACCCTCCCTTGCCCCACTTTCCAGACCTCCTCCTCTGCCCTGGCTTTGGCCTCAAGCTTTAGCCCTGGCCATAGAGCAGCACCCGACTCACCGGCTCTCCTCTTCCTCTCCCTGGCTCTTGTTGCCCTGGGTCTGCTCTCTCACTGAATTGCCCTGCTTATCCCAGGCCCAGGGAGCCCACAGTGCTGGCTTTGCCCTAGACATAAACTTCTTTGACTCATTCCCAGGTACGGGCTGATGAGGGAGTGCTGGCATGCAGCGCCCTCTCAGAGGCCGACCTTTAAGCAGCTGGTGGAGGCACTAGACAAGGTCCTGCTGGCTGTCTCTGAAGAGGTACTGCCCACTCCTGCCCCAGGCCTTCTTCCCCACCCCCTCCCCGCTCCCTTGGCCCAGAGACATAAACCTGAAGCATCCTGTCCCAGAGACTGGAAGCTGACCAGCTTTGTTCTTTACAGTACCTTGACCTCCGCCTGACCTTTGGACCCTACTCTCCCTCCAGTGGGGATGCCAGCAGCACCTGCTCCTCCAGTGACTCTGTTTTCAGCCACGACCCTTTGCCACTGGAGCCAAGCCCCTTCCCTTTCCCTGGGGTGCAGACGTGAGCAGGGGCGCAATGTTGTACGGGCTGGTAGGTCAGTGGCCGCGGACCTCCTAGCTCAGCTGCAACCTGACCAAACATCTGACGTCGGCAGCACCAGGCCCCTGACTTGAGGCCACTGCTGTCCCAGATCTCCGGCCCTGCTTTGGGGAGGCCCACTCTTGGACCTACATTTCACAGTTCAGGCCTTCTGCCCTAGCTTCATGCTCCCAACCCAGAGTTCAACTCTAGTCTCTGGGTCCTGACCCTGTCTTGGACTTACCTTCAGAGAAGCTGAGAGTTAGGACTTCATGTCCTGAGCCTTGGCACTCAGCTTCCATCTCAGGGGCTTGCTAGGCCTGGCTGCAAAGCTTTCGTCCCAAACTTTTCTGCTTCTCCAAACTACCTAGAGGTTAGAGGCCGATGGACCTCCTTGACCCCAGCCCCCAAGCCTCACCCCCATTGCTTGTCCAGGATCTTGGTGGAAGGAGCATCAGCTCTGGTGTCCCTGAGAGACTAGAAGCCTATGGAAAACACGGAAGATGGCATTTTATAAATTATTTTTTGAAATAAATCTGTGTGCCTGGTGTCTCCCCTGAGGGGCAGGGCGTAGGGTGGGAAGACTCCCCATGCGGGGAGTTCTGTCTGGGTGACAGACTGAGGGCTGTGTGCCAGGCCTTCGGCTGGCCTCCACCTCCAGCTGTGCTACGGCAGACCCAGAAGCAGATATGCACCTCTGCCACTGTCCTTGTGTACGCAATGGTGTGAGTGTTCATGGGCAGATGACCCACACTGCACCATCTGTAAGGCAGGCCCTTGTATCCTCTACATGTGCATATATGCATGTTTGGCCCACAGCTGTCCTCTAGGGAGCTGGTGCCCCCTCCCCCATCTGCTCAGCATTAACCAAACTGACCGTTAACACAGCATGAAAACCTGAAATCAAGCCTCCAGCCACTGCCTGCTCCCACGATCTGGATCTGCCAGCTCAGGCTCAGGGCTTGTGGGGGCCGTGCCCACCCCGCCTTGCCCTGGCCTGTCTCCCAGGCAGCAGCTGCTGCTGCCTGACTGAGCCGCAGCTGTCCCCACTTGCACGATCCTCCCTGGAGGCTTCGCAACCCTGTTCTCAGGCCTTCCTCTCAGAGAGACTGTCTTCCCAGAGCTCTGAGCCTGGAAACCTACTGGACTCCCTAACCCTGAACTTTAGGGTGGGCCATGGAAAGGCCAGACATCCCAGGCCACGCCTGGTGCTCTGCTGCCTGGCTCCAGTGAGCTCTCTCAGAAGATGGCTGAAAATGTATTTAGGCTTCCGGGGACTAGTGTAAGAACTTAAGGATGGAGCTGAAGAGGTGGCTTGTCATTTTAGAGCATTTGTTGCTCTTCCTGAGGACCTAGGTTTGACTCCCAGCACCCACCACAACCTTTTGTAACTCCAGTTCTCGGCAGCCAATACCCTCTTCTGACTTCCATGGGCACTAGGTACACAGACACACACATGCAGGCGAAACACTCCTACACGTAAAAAGATTTAAGGATGGCTTGTTTGCTAAGAGCCACCCTGGAAGACAGCCATAGTTCATGAAGGGAACAGCTTCTCTTCGTTGTTCTGGGCTACATCCATGCCCTTTCTGGCTCACTACATCCCAAACTGCACCTCATCCAGAACACCTCATCCTAGAGGGGACACCAAACAGACAAACAGACAAACAGACAGACAAACAAAACACACAAATTCTCCCTGATTACTCCTTTCCCTCAAGAACCGCATTCCTTAGTGGGATGCAAAGAGCCCTGGACTCGGAGTGAGGGTTCAAATTCTGCTATTTGCAGCACCACACTGAGGGACCCAGGCCAGCACCGTCACTGCTCTGGTTGCCACTTTCTTCACCACGATAAGTGGAGTGCTCCTGTCCTGCCTTCCTGGACTGGGGGATGAACAAAGATGGAAATACTTAAGCTTGGTGAAAGGCTGGTCCGGACTCCACACAAGTCATGCCGTAATTTTCCTGGGAACTGGGCTCTTGCACGGTCTCCACACCCCCAAACCAGCCAAGGCCTCCAGTCCCACTTCTGTTCTCTATTCTTCTGCAGGTAGCTCCAGAGGCAGCAACCCAAAGCAGTTCTAGCTTTTATCCTTCCTATACGGTTCCGTGGGACCTCAGATTTTCTGTGTAAGCACCATACACGGTCATCAATGATGCCAAACTTTAGAACTGAGACCTGATTCCAAACTCAGTCTCCCATTAGAGACTACTAGTCAGAGTTGAGTCCATCACCAGTCCAGACAAGTCACTTTTGGAAGCAGATTCCTTGGATTTACCTGGGTCAAGAAAAGACTGGGAAGTTGGAATCAGGTATAAGGACCGAGAAGAGATGTCCATCAAAAGCCCCACTGTCCACAGTTCCACTCTTGTCCCATTGCTAGTCCTGGATCACCCAGCTGTCTGCTAAGTGCAGCTGTACCACACATGGACCATGCTTACTCTTCAAAGGTGGTAAAACAAGGGGTGTGTCTAGTGTAGTATTAACACCTCCTGTTCAAGCTACTAGGGAGATGGAAGCAAGGATAATCTCTCAAATTCAAGAGTTGGAAGGGTACCAGGCAGTGATGTCACACACCTTTAGTCCCAGCACTCAGGAGGCAGAGGCATGCAGATCTCTGAGTTCAAGACCAGCCTGTTCCTGGACAGCCAGGGCTATATGGAGAAACCCTGTCTGTCTCAAATACACACACACACACACACACACACATGTGCACACATGCATGCAAAGCAGACGAGTTGGAGGATCTGAAGACATGACTCAGCAGTCAAGATCACCCACAGCTCTTGCAGAAGACCTGAATTCAGTTCCCAGCATCCCCTATTCCCAGCTTACAGCCATCTCTAACTCTAGTTCTAGGGGCTCTGGTGCCCTCTTCTGGTCTCTGCTGGTACCTGCATGCAGGTGCACATACCCACACACAGACACATAACTAAAAATAAAATAAACCTTTTTTTAAAATTAGGAGTTTAAAATCAGCCTGATATACATATGGGGTTCCATGAAAGAGCTGTACTGACACCTCAGATTCTCAGCAGGCCCTGTGAATACTGGAGCCCAGAACCAGACTGCTCAGAGTCATAGGACCAGCTGCTTGGTAGCTTCTGGGGTCCAGGAGAGGACAGACATACTGAGACAGCCTCAGACATGAACAGGAAAGAAGTGATTCAGGAGCATCAGCTGGAGTCCAAGGCCAGACTGGGGTAAAAAGACAGACTGTGACTCAAAAAAGAATAAATAAAGTAAGGAATGGTGGGTTTATGACTGTAATCCAAGCACTCAGGATGGCTGAGGCAAGAAGATCACCTCAAATTTGAGGCCACCCTGGGATACAGAGTGAGTTACAGGCCAGCCTAAGCTACAAGAGGAGACCTAGTCTTTAAAAAGAAAAAGACTAAAAACAAAGCAGACCAAAAAGACTAAAACCAAAGATATGATAGCACATGCCTGTTCCCAACAACTGAGAGGCAGAGGTAGACAAATTTCTGTGAGTTTTGGGCCAGCTTGGTCTACATAATGAGACCCAGACAAACCAAGGTTAGAGTAAGGCCTTGTAGCAAAAACAAAAACAAAACAAGAAACAAAGAAAAAGGACTTGGATTTGATTACTAGTACCGAAAAGACAAAACAAAACAAAAAAAATGGGGTTCCATAAAATAGCTGGACTGATACCCCAGTTCTCAGAAGGCCCTGTGAATATTGGAGCCCAGAACCAGGTTGCTCGGAGTGATAGGAACAGCTGCTGCCTGGTGATTTCTGGGGTTCAGGAGGACTGGACTGCCTGCCCCGTGCCCCGTGCCCCTCCCTGCCAGTGTCCCTGGCAGGCACACAGTTGCTGGGACTGTTTCACATTCCTGATGTCCCGTGTCAGGAGACAGATGCTGCTAATTCCCCTGTGCAAGCTTTGCTGGTCCATCAAGCCTGCCCTCCCCAGCCGGCTCTGCGCAGCATGGCAACAGTTGGGGCCTGGCCCCTTAGTCTGTCCCGGTTCTGAGCAGCTTCCAAGTCTGTGAACAGCACTGGGTTTCTCTCCAGAAGGCCACTGGCAGACTCTGCTGAGAGGGACACACAGACATGGACATGAAGCTGACGGCGATGGAATGTACACCTGGGAGGAAGGTGTCCAGGGTAGGAGGGGTAGTACCACGGCCAGCTCCCCTCTCCGAGCCTCTGTTTCCCGGCCTGTGAAGCTCTAATGAATGATGACACCTGCCAAACAGTGCGTCAGTGCTGAGTAAACAGCAGCTGTTACTGCATGGCAATTAAGACGGGGCCTCCAGGGCAGGGTGCTGTGCTGGGTGGAGGGGGTGGGGCGCTGGTTCATTTCCTCCTCGGGGCAGCATTCCCTTCCAGGAAAGCATTCTCACTGGCAACATTTCCCCGAGGGGGGACAATGGGGCTCAGAAGGAGGAAGTAATTGGCCCCTATCACAAGGGGAAAATAGGAAAGTGGGACCTCAGACAAGGTGGTTTGTTCCTGTGGAGCTCACTCCCATGCCCTAGGGGGCCCAGTACTTCCTAGTGTTCAGAGGCTCTGGGAGGCCCAGACTAGGGAGGTCTGTTAGCCCAGTGAGGATGGGCAGATGCTATGTTCAAGCTCATCTGAGCCCCAGCTCCCTGTTTTGACAGCAGTCTTATGAACCAGTCCCTGGCACATCACAGCCTTCCCATGGGCTTTTCCTTCCCGGGGACATTTCTTCCACCTTTCACTTGGCCAAGCCCTGGTCACTCTCAAGAGCTCACACTGGGGCTGTAGCTGTTAGTAGATGCTTGTCCAGCATTCATGAATCTTGGGTTCAACCTGCAGCACTGCATAAACCGAATAGTGGGGCATGCCTGTAACACCTCTGGCATCCATAGACACATGCGTAGGTGTACACATGGGCATGAACACCCCCTCCGCCACACACACACACACAAAACCACAACGAAAGCCTGGGGTGGAGTAGAGTGCTTGCCCAGCCTACACAGGACCCTGTGACTGACCACCAGCACACCAAAACTTCAATGACAAGCAACCCCTCCCTCCTGTCCTCTCTCTCCCCAGAAAACACTGCTCCTATCATCTGAGTCCTTTGTGAGTCTCCACACCCCTGGCCCACGCGTGCATAGCCCTTGATCCAGCTAAGCGGTTAACCATTCTTGTTTCCACCCCTAAATCCCAACCCAGGGCACGCACGGCAGAACTGGGACACAGAGAAGTATTGCGAAGGAAGGAGCCAAGATGATCCATTCCCATGTCTAAGCCCCACTGAGTGTATGGGCAAGCCTGTGTGTACTCGGCTTCCCACTGCCTACTACTTCCCACACTACTGGGACCCTAACTGGGAGCCTCTCCTTCACCTGCTGTGGGATTTGGCCTAATCTGGGAGTATGTGTGCAAGGCAGCTGCAGCTCTCCCCCCACAGAGGAAATATCCTTTTTATTCTCTTACTACAGAAATTTGACCTTCATTGGCACCTGGGCTCCACAGCTGGAGCCTGTCCCCAAGAAGCAACCGAGGATGGGGCATGAAATCGCCAACAGCTGAACT